CCAGAGTCAGACCATTTTTTAAAGTGTATATTTTCTTAGGGCTGAATAAAGCAAATAAATGGATAGGTGTGTGTATCTCTGAGAATGTAACTATTTGAGAAAGAATATTAAATTTATGGTGCATATTTTGAGGCCTCTATTCATTTCCTCGAAAATAACAAGCAGTATGTTTCTTTAGAAAGAAACTTTAGTGTTCGAGTTATGTTTAAACCATATAAGCACAATAAGCATTTTTTCAAGGGAAAAAAGTGATTATTTCTTCAAATGTCTGCTTTTTAAATCTACTTACTATTGAGATATGTAGTCTTGCTTTTCATTTACAACAGTATGGCTTAGCAGAGGAAGGAAGATTTAAACGGTGATTGAAAAGTTAAACTTGGAAGTGAGACGAAAATATGGATTATTGCTACCTCTGTTATTATAAGAAATAATTCAATTCATTTGTAAGCAATATATTTTTTTTCTGAGGGGTCTTGGTATTCACTGAAGACCAGCAAAAGCAGCTTTGTCTTCACATTTTGCACAATACAGATGTGCACGTGACTGTTCTGCTAAGCCATCAAAACAGAACAGAGGTGTCGCATTATTACAGACTTTGTATAAAACATCATAAACGGTTCCCAAATGCATGAGCCAGTCTCTGCTCACATAGCTGAAATAACTTTTGCCATCTTTCCCTTGACTATGACAAAGAATATGAAAAGCTGCTCTTTTTTCTTGTCTTCTTCTAAAGCATCTGTGTCCTGCTGCACAGCCCTGAGACTGGTCTTCAGTGGCACCAGTTGCATTTACTGTCCTGTTCCTTCTCTCAGTCTGGTCATTTGCCTCAAACAGAAAGATATAAAACAAAAATACAGCCAGGAGACTGTTAGCATATTATGATAATAGTCTTAAATTTGGTTTAGGGAGTGTATAGTCTTCTGTGGCTGAGGGTTTGTAGGTGCTAAGGGAGAGATCACAGTAAATATTCTTGTGGGCTTCCTGACTTAACATCTGTTACGCGGTTACTTCAGACTTCAGGAAAGTAGACTTAGAGACCCAGCAGTCCTTTAGTGCATTAACGTGCATTAATGTATAGCATGATTTTGGCAGTGTTACAGTGCTTAAACAGCTTAATCTGCCTTCTGCTAAAAAGATATGCAAGGGATATAGATACATGCTGGCATGTGAGCATCGCTTAAATAATTGTAGAAACTGTTAGATGTGAAATGAAATTTGTGCATGGCTTTAAAACGTATGAAGCCAGGTAAACAGCTGGGATTTATGTAGATTTGTATATGTTAAGGTATGAATATGCACCATTTTATGAGACTCCAAAATCAAGTATATACACAGATGTCTCAAGAAAATATTTAATCTAGTCATCAGTTTGGCAGGGTTCCTAGATAAGTTAGGGAGTAAGGTTAAACTAACTTTATGGCTTGTAGAACAATTAATATTTCCTGCATGCACAAATTTTAAATCAAAATACTGTAATATGCTAAAAGAAAACCCCAAATTAAATGGAGCTGTGGTGGTAAATACACATCATCAACTTAAGGAAAACATCTCAAAGAGAATATTATGTTTAAAGGAATTTTAATTTCATAATACATTCCAGATTTATGTCATTTGACAGTACAGAGCTTATTAAACCCATCAGACAGCTTTGTCTTTCCTCTCGTGTCTTCATCCACTGCCTACCTAAATTAATACATCCGTACTTGACCTCTAGCTCACAAGTTAGGTGAGGCTAACATTGCATGCTTTGATCTGAAAAGCTGTAACATGCAGTGCTGGCCTAACTGCCGCAGTTAAGACCCACGGAGGTCAAGTTTTCTTGTTCCTAATAAGGAACTGTTTGCGACATGATCTCCCTCAAAGGACAGTACTACGAATCTTGCCTTTTTTGGACACCCCCCAGAAAAATCCAACCGACCAAACCCTGAAAAACAAATCTCTTCCCCAAACCCCTAAACAAACAAGAATGTGGCTCGTTTCCCTGTTCTACAGGAGAAGGAAAGAAGGATTGATGGAATAGTATTAAAGAATATGATTATCATAGCCAGTACTCTTCTGGGGTGAATATTAGAGCAGAGCTCATCTTTGTCCTTGATTATGGTTGGAAAACTTTGTCAGTGCTGTGCAATGCTCTCTTTTTGATCCATAGTTTTATTTAAAATGCTAACAATATAGCAAAATTGCACAACAATCTTTTTTAATGCCGTTCTTCTCTTTACAACACTTGATAGTCTGCTATGTGTGGATTTACCTTCTCTTTCTCATTTGGTCTCACACCTATCCTGGCTTTTCACGCTGTCTTTGGTTAATGAGTAAAGAAACAGATTGCTAACAGGTCCATCTACATCATAACTGAAGTATTTCTGTAAGGGTACAATTCAAGGTGCTTCCTCTAGTGAATAAATCTGTAAATTTTTTGGTTTTGTAAATGTCAAATATTTACCTGCTACAATGCCTCTTTCCTATGTTTTTTTCTAAGGATCAGCAAAGAAACATTTTAAGTAAGACTACAGCAAGGCCACGTTTATTACAGCAGCAATTTAGAGGAAGGTCAGAATGTTAACAAGTACTACACAAATTTTTCATTTACAATTTTTAAAATACTTCCATCTCATCACAGGAAAAAGAACTTGAAAATAATTTTAAAAAACCACATTATTTTTGTATCTTTGAAGTGAAATACTGTTTCTGTGTTTAGCAATGATAAAAATTAAAACTTTTTTTTTTTCAGAAAATTGCCTTTAATTCAATTTGTTTTCAAAAATATAAATATTAATTGATATAGGGATGACACTTTTTGCTTTGAGTTAAACAAAGAGTTCCAGTTAAAAGGAGCTTTTTTGACCCAGAGGAAATATTTGTATTATTCAAGTATTTCGAAAGGGTTTTCATTCTAATTCAAACATGAGCCAAACTACTGATTGTCCAAACACAGCTCTATAAATTAAAAAAATTGTAATCAAAGTTATGCTTCAACATAGTTATGAGAGCACAAGTTTATTAAGATGATATATTTGGGAAGTGTTTGGAGCGTAATTTGTCTGTCCTTCATGTTTCACTGCTTCCTCCGTATGACCTCGAAGGAGAAACCCCACCTTGTCCCTGTTCTGCTCAGTGGTTCCCCCCAAATGGAAATAAAGAAGTGTTAGATATCTTATAATATAAGCTGTCAGTGAAAAGTTTTAGTGCTTCATATGGGATTTAAAGTCTTTTAATAAATCTCTGGGCTATTGTATGTTTGGTGAGCCATTCCGTGGTGTGGATTTTCAAGTCTGTTGGTTTCAATATATGGTTATGCTTGAGCTGCAGTTCAGGGAGCAGCAGAGCCTGGTCTCCTATGTTGATGTGACTCTAAGATGAGCCCTAATGCCTTCAGTCTGAGCATCCTTTACCTTCCCAGCAAAATAGCCACCCAGTTTATCCTCTATGCCCCCACACAGTACTGCTGCCCGGACAAGAAGATAGATTGCTTTTACTGGTGGTAAGCTGGGTGTACTGGCCAGTGTCTCTGCTGCTGGGATAGGGACCTCCTTTTTTAAATACGTGCTGCCCTAGTCTCCTTGTGAGCCAAGCTATTTAATAAATGCACAAACCGTAAGATCTAAACACCACTCAAATCTTTGCTTTTCAGTCAAGTTAATTTCAAACTGACCTCTGGATTCACAAGCTATTAGAAAAAACAGGCAGGCACAGGGCACGTCTATTGTAGAAGGTTATTTCCGTAAGGAAGTAAGCTAAAAATTGATCATTTGGCATACGCTTAAGACTTCTGTTGTTGATATGCAAGTAGTAATTAACATTTACAGTACCTCCATAATAATACTTTAATACATTTAAGGTAATTCAAGCAGTGGAGTCTGAAATAACACTGTACCTATGCAAATACACTTATAAATTTGGTTGGATTTGGCAGTTTCGTATCATGGATTTTGGCATTTATTCCTTTAGATATTTATAAAGAGAGAGACTTAAAACTGTTACCAGTACAGAGAATGATTTGCAGTAAAATCAAATGCAGATCTTGGCATTGCACTTTATGCCAGGTGCCTGCTTTATTTTGAGTTTGAAATTTATTGCTTTTTATTATGTTTTTTATTATTATTATTTTTTGAATTGGATAAGTTTCGTTATTGCAAAAGCAAGACTATTCGTAATGGTTTGGGCCAAATATAGTGCAGTCAGATGGTATGCAGTTTTACCTAAAGAGCTTTGACAACCTCTTAATCTTGATATGTAGCACACCATCTATTCTAGTCACGGTCGTTTAAAAAACATATAATGCATGTCATGCTAAATTGCACACTAGCTGTTTGTTTAGTGTGGACGTAATTACACCATAAACTGAATTGCAGTTGAAACTGAAAAATGGTCCTGTAGCAGTATTTTCAAAGTTTATAGGTCTTTATGCTAAACCACATCTTAGATTTTCCCAGACAACCTACAGTCATCTCACTGTCCATTAACACTCCTTTCTGGATGAGGTAAGGGAAAATGAGCCTCCAGGGCCAGAGATTTACAGTCTGATTGACAATATTTTTAAGTCTGTGTGTAGTTTTAAATAGGGGTCCAGGACATGCTACGGTATTAAGATCACTTGCTAGTTTGCTTGCCAGGAGATTCCTCCTGCTCTGTGGAGTTTTGATATCTGTCTCATACTTGAAATTCTTCAGTCTTTGCGCTTTCAAAACTTCCATTGACCGATCTCAGTATTGATTGCTTGTGAACTGTAACAATCCCTCTTGCTTGTCTGGTGTCTTTAATCTTTTGATCCATCTCCATGACTAATCAATATTTATATTGTCATGGAGGCAATATATCCACATCCAGGCTTGTGTGGCTGCAAACTCACAGAGTGTGTTTGTAAAACAAATCGGTATAAAACCAGCTAAACATTTTCCGGGATGGAAGAGTAAGGCATTCCAACATATCTATCCTAAACACAAAGGTATGTAAGATGGAGTTACCCGTTACCTGTTAATGTATTTTCTTTCTACCAACAGGTCCCATAAGCAGCATTTTGGTGAATAAGTATGGTAGCCGGCCTGTGATGATAGCAGGAGGTATCCTGTGTTCATTTGGTATGATTGCTTCCTCTTTCTGCAATAGCGTCCTGGAACTTTATCTATGTATTGGTGTCGTTGGAGGTAAGAATCTTTTTTAAAAGGGATTATTCTGTTCTGTTCTATTCTATTCGTTATATTACATTGTACTATATTGTATTGTATAATTTCAAATACTGTTCTACCAACGAGCCTTAGTGATCAAGAACCCATTGTGCAAGGCATTGTACAAATGCAAACCAAGAAGGCGGCAAGATCAGTTCATTTCAGCTACCTGAGCTATCTAATCCCTTAAATTAGCTGGTATGATGTTAAATTATTCTTAGGGTATTTCAGGAACAACTGATGATTTTATTCAATAAATGCTGTATGTATGTACTGTTCCACACTGCACTGTAATTATGGTATAAAAATTGATTGGCTCATGACAGCACTTATTACAGTCATTTGTGTAGAATCTCACATTCATTCTTTTAGCTTTCAGTCATGTTGCGCTTCAAAGGGGGTGGCAAAGGCTAGCAGTATTCTAGTAAAAATGCAAAAGCTAGTATCAGCTTTCTGTAGGTTTGTACATACATATACTCTTACAGATAAGTATAACAACTTTAAGTTCAATAGCTTTCTGTTTAAAATCCCCAGGGTCAATCCCCAAACAAAATTATTAATATGTTATCAAAGACCTCGATATTGCCTAAGGCAATGAACTAAAGTGATCATAAAGCCAGTAAATTAAATAACCTCCTTATCAAAAGTTGTGTGTTGTTTTTTTTTAAACTACCTCCTCAGAATAAGAAAGGCAAGTGAGATGGGATATTGACAGGTAAGAAATGAATGAGATAATACCTGTTCCTATATTCAAGCTCATCTTTCTTTATGTTGGGACTAAAGGAATCCTGCTTTGTGCAGTGATTATTCTTAAAGCTCTTATTTTTTTACATCCTAAACTTGGGGCTCACTGATAGAATAAAGCTGGAGTCCAGGAATGGGCCTATCAGAGAAGAAAGCTTCTCTCCTGTGCCTTTCAGCAGATGCATAGCTACTTAGACCTTATTGCCTGGATGTCTTAATACAGAGAGAAGGCCCAGAGGTTCAGCTTACACACTCAGCTGATGGGTGGTCTGCTCCCATGCATGTCCTCTACAACTCTTCCACCTTTAGTTGTGACTTCCATACCTGGGGAAATGGAGCTGAATGTGCTCCAAAATAATTAGTCATTTTAAGCTCCACTTTTTTACCCAAGTTTGATCTTAAGTAGTGCTGGAAATAAGAAACGAGGAGATTTATGCATTTAAATGTGCCCTGTAGTCATTGTAGCTGAGGTAACATTTAATAACTTTTGTGAAATGAGCCAAGATAGAATTGCATTATTGCTTAGTAAACATAAAAATGGTGAGTCAAGCCGTTGATACCATCATTCCTCTGCAGTTCTGCTGTCTCTATCGTTGCTAAAACATAACAAGGTATTTTGGCTCTTATTGCAGTGCTACAGGGGGAAATGGTAGAATCCCACCATGACATAGTCACATATGGACAGCAATGAAGCTGTATTTCATTCTCTGATGCTAGTTGGTTTCTGTCTTCGTTGAGAATCAGTGGATTAGATACCATTAATTTAAAAAGTAACTTGAAAGAGATGTGATACATTTTTTAGTGCATGTCAATAATACTGTCTTTTATGTGTTGTTTAGGTCTGGGTTTAGCATTCAACTTACAGCCTGCCTTGACCATGATTGGCAAGTATTTCTATAAGAAGCGTCCCATTGCTAATGGATTGGCCATGGCTGGAAGTCCAGTGTTTCTGAGCACATTGGCACCTCTCAATCAATTCCTCTTTAATGCATTCGGCTGGAAAGGAAGCTTTCTCATTCTGGGAGGACTTCTTTTGAACTGCTGTGTGGCTGGGTCACTTATGAGACCTGTTGGACCGAAAACAGTCCCTCCCGTGAAAAAAGATGTTGAAAAAGGCACAGGAGATTCTACCTTGCACAAAAACAACAAGAAGTCTTTTTGGCAAACTATGAATAAATATCTAGACCTGTCCCTCTTCAAACACAGAGGGTTTCTGATCTATTTGTCAGGAAATGTCATTATGTTTATCGGTTTCTTCGCTCCAATAGTATTCTTGGCTCCTTATGCCAAGCACAAGGGAATCGATGAATATTCTGCTGCTTTTTTGCTATCTATCTTAGCCTTCGTAGACATGTTTGCTAGGCCTTCAATGGGACTCGTAGCAAACTCCAAGTTTATCCGGCCAAAGATTCAGTACTTTTTTAGTTTTGCTGTTTTGTACAATGGCGTCTGTCATATCTTGTGCCCTCTGGCAACAAATTATACTGGCTTAGTGATATATGCTGTATTTTTTGGGTTTGCATTCGGAATGGTTAGCAGCGTTCTTTTTGAGACGTTGATGGACCTCGTTGGGGCTGCCAGATTTTCCAGTGCGGTTGGACTTGTCACCATCGTGGAATGTTGCCCTGTGCTCATAGGCCCTCCTCTAGGAGGTAAAAATCTCTTTTATTCGATTTTTTCAGACATTACAGCATAATCTTGCAATTTAGTATTGAATTAATATAAACATGCTTAGTATTATTTAATGTTTTCTGTGTGACTAGGAATGTACTGTGTCAGTAGTGCACTGCATCAATTATCTTTGCACTTTACAGCTGCAGTCCAGATGAGAATCTGAAGGCGTACAATGCGTGCATGTGCAATAGATAGATTAAGAGCATATCTCTACTGGCCCATAAATCCATGTGGTAAATGTATGTTTTCCTGATAGCACATAGTGCTAACTTTGCAGCCTTGACTCACATGTATTCAGCTCCAATTTGCTCTTTGCCAATACAATTCTTCCTCTCTTGAATTGGTTGAATCCACTGGTCAGTTTTTGTGAAGATCTCACAGTGATGGGGCTTTGAGCAACCTCGTGTAGTGGGAGGTGTCCCTGCCTATGGCAGGGGGGTTGGAACTAGATGATCTTCAAGGTCCCTTCCAATCTAAACCATTCTATGATTCTACGATTCTATGACTTGCAGTTTCTCTAACCTAACGGCAGCTAGAGGGGCACCCACGTAAATTTAAAATAGCAACTTTAGTTTGCCTAAACAAAGAGGATTGGCATTTCTAGTGGGAAGAAACCAGTAGGGAGGTGCCAGAAGGGACAGGGACACGCTCAGCAGCCTAGGCAGGGTGCATGTCTGGTGGGATTTTGGCGCAGTGCCGTGGAGCGTTGCGCCCTGGTGTGATTTCACACCACAGCCTCACTCTCAGCCAGTCCGTTAGCCTGTTTCTATAGCCAACAGATATGTGTAAGGCAATTCAGAGCGTAAACCATCCTGCATTGACTACAATATGGTAATGTTGCCAACTTCTCTCTTTTGAGTGTAAAGGGAGCTTAAAGAGAACCAGGACTGTATTCGTAATTTTTGGGCTTCTAGCACCTAAAGTATTTTCTGTTTGCTAGATTGTTACTCAGTATTTAGTAATGCTGTCAGTAAGTTTTATAACCGTTATAAGATTTCTGATGATATAAGAGGCTAAAGAAATAGATGCTCAAATCTGACTGAAAAGTATCCATTAAAGGTGCATGAGTAGCAGTGTAAGCCCAACAGTATGAAAATATATAGATACTGAGATTACCAGCCTTATAAGCAAACACTATACTGACAGAAGCAGAACCACAAAAGTCAGCAAGTTTATATGTGCCTAAAACTGTATATAATTACCAAAATATTTTAAGGATTACTCTCAATATTTGTATGAAAATAGCAAGTGTTGAGTGAAATTTTAAATATGCCAAAACAATTCCACTCACTTCAGTGCAATAATATTTGTACAAGTAAATGTTTAATAGTTCTCAAGACATTCCATATTTCCTTCATCTTTTAACATACAAATTCATTTTGGTGATGGTAGAACCGAATATATTCTCACACAGACTCTTCCTATGCCACCTAGTGGGGGGACTAAGCCTGTGACCACTGGAGTCCAGCCTTTTCAGTCAGGTTCTGAAATCAATACTAATATTAACTCTAAAGATATTAAATCTAATATTTATGGAGCAATAGAATATGCAACTATTTATTTTTCAGTATATTAGTTTTGCCAAAATTTTGAAAAGCATGTGTTTGTGCTGTAACTGTATGAATAATTGATTTATCTTGTTAAATAAAAACAACAAAGGGGGTGAGCACATGGAAAAGCTAAATTCCAGTTTTGACTAGTTCATATCCTTTAAAATATTATGCTGAAGTAATGTTAATGCAGAATTTCATTTTTAATCATCAGTTTTATGAGACTGCTCATCTAGAAAAAACAGTAACTTGCGCTATTTACACTACTTGGCGAATTATAGAGTTGCAGTGCTATTTGAGTTTTTCCTAATCCTAGGCTTGTGAAATAAAAAAAAAGGCTGGACTAATTTGATGGCTTGTAAATGTGTATCAGGTGAATAGGCTGGCATTATGGCTTCAACCCAGTAAAACCATCTGAATACATACTAAATTGAAGTGCGCAGGTCATTGTGTGAATTTCAATGACAGTGTAGCAGAGTTCAGAGCTAAATAGTTAGATACATACAAATCTTGAGCTGGCAGTTGGGAAAATTTAGAAAGAATGCCTCATAAAGTGGAAGAGCAGTTATATTTTGTTTTCCTTGTCATGACCAAATTAATCTGAGAGATGTGGATGTAATTTTTAGGTATAGGCTTCAGAGTTCAAAACTCAGCAGTCGAGCGTGATAGCTGAAGGGATGAGCCTTTCTATCTCCTTCACCAGTCACAGGAAAGTAAAAATGAAAAGCAAGCTGTTGATGTACAGTGACAGCAGCCTAAAAAGGCACATACCTCTTCATCCTATTGTCTGTATGCAGCCTCCGTGAGTGTCAGACAGTCACTGCAGAACAATAGGAAACAAAATTAGGAGGTGAATAAAATAAGAAGACAATGAAAGAATGAAAATGAAAGAACTAAAAAACTGTCTGTCATTATTCGTTAAGCTTTACTTACTTTGTTCTTCAATATTTTATCATTGTCAGTGATTCCAATGACAATTGCTAGCTTGACTAATACAGGTTTCATTAGCGTTCCACTATATATGTTAGACCGTTTGAACATGTTGAAAATGCTTTTCTGCTCCAACTTCAAAACCAGGCAATATATAGGTATTTCTCCTAGGAAAAAATCTGGATTGTATTGAGTATTCTATGCTAAAGACTTTTTTTCTCTCTTCTTGTCTTTGTATTTCAGGTTGGTTAGTGGATGTTACTGGTGAATATCAGTACATGTATTTTGTCTGCGGAGTGATTGTGATTGTGGCCAGTATCTGGTTGTTCATTGGCAATACCATTAACTACAGGCTTTTGGCAAAAGAGAAGAAGTTAGAGGATGAGAAGCAGAAAGCACAGAAGAACGCTGACTTGAAAGAAGCAGAACCATTAACAAACAATGAGAACGAAGATGCTGCCAGCAGAGCTGATAAAACTCTTGAAGATCCTTCAGAAAGAGAAACCAACATTTAATCTGCAATATAGCTCAGAAGGCAACATTTATGACTTCCATTAGAAATATGTCTTCAAGACACAGGCCAGGTTTTGCGGTAATAATGATCAGTCACAATATTGGATGGGAACAGATTTTTGCCCCGTGGCGAGACTCTAAGTTAATTTACTATCTACAATTTATTTATTTCAGTAATACAAAATTTAGATTGCAGAGGTAGTGACTCCATGCAAATGACTCCATCAGACCATGACTCTGGACAATCAGGAGTCAGGTAAACCAAGCTATATGTAAAGCCCTCCAGTGACAAACAGTTTTGTTTTAAAAATAAATCTAATGCAAAAGTATCTCTAACTCTTATTTGGAAAGATACTTTGTGTTCATCTTTAGGGTATTGATAAAGTCTGTTGCAATAATCTGCCCAAACTGTACTTACCACTAATATTAAAAAGAATATTAGCTCAAAGATTTGTTTCAAAATAGACAGAGTACCTGAGTGAAGCACACTGGAACTTTTTTCTCTTTTCTATGCCCACTAGATCAAAAAGATACATTATGTCTGTATAAACAATTATAATATGGATGTAAAAGTTAAAGCTAGAAGACAAGCAATTGGTGGGCACCGTCTCTAAAATACAATAAACAGCTGAATTACAACATATTCCAGAAATTGCTTCCTCCTGTGATAGTTGGCTACATTGTACTTCAGCATACACATTTGAACACAAAGTACGTTCAGACCTCTCTAATTCAAACTGAACTAAAATCTGCCTGTACATACAAAGGATTTAAAAACAAGATTTACATTGCTAATGAGAGTGGCAATTAGTTTGTTCGGTTATGTATTCCTGTATGGCTGAAGGAACTGGGTTGGACTGTGAAACCTTCTTCCTAAGGGGACTAGATTCAGAACCTGCTGATGTTAAAAGGATACTTACTCTTGGCTTTTGTGGCCTAAATCTGTTTCCTGGCAATGACTTCAAAGTAGATGCTTGGTTTTATTGGCAAGTCATTAGTTGTTTGATGGTCTACTGAGAGGAGATTTAAGGTCTAACTTCAGGTCTTTGCAGACAAGTAACTTTAAACCAGTTCTCACCTCCCTTTCCCATGTATTTAGTGAAAAGCTACTTCATTTTGTAATGCCAGTTCAAGCAAAAATGCTGCAAGGCACATTGACAGTGCCAGTCTGGAAGCTTTGTATTGACGTATCATTTTTGTGCAGGATAGTTGGTCTTGTGTCTACAATGTCACACAGGTGTTTGTATCAATTAAAATGTACACAATTGTTCCTCTTCCTTTAGGCAAAAGAAAGTATAAGTCAACAATTTTACATTACAGAAATTAGCATTGCACTTGAAAGCTAAAAGTGCAAACTTCTGAAGGTATTAAGTAAAAATAGTTCTGTTCTGTTTATAGATGAGGAAAGGTTTTATTCGTTTTGGAGAGATGAATATAAATGCCTCAGAAATTGTGAAAATTAAAGGTCTGATTCATAAAACATTTATGCACTGTTTATGCAGAATACACATACATTCAATTCAGGGAAAATAATATCATTCATTTTAGCCCTCTTATAAATCTCAAAAAGTTGCAAATATATTGGACAGAGAGCTAGCTGTGTTAAACATGCTTTGAAGCACCAATAAGAAAAAACTTAGTAAAATCGCGCAAATATGTGAGTGCTTGTAAGGAAGAGTAGTGTTCAATATTGTTATTTTCATTGTTCTAAAAATTTTTGGTAGTGCTTGTTTCTGTTTTGCTGGGTTATCATCTTATATACTATGAACTTCCACAGTAATGCTGAACTTTTTCATTATCTCAGCACCGTTTTGGGGGAGAAGTATGATGAATCTACTTACAGCATGGTACAGGAATTAATACCTACTTCTCACCTAATCATATGCAGGAAAACCAAACACCTACAAGTCCTCTAATTTTATAGGCACATCAGCAACAAACTGTGCGTTTCAAAGTTTTGGGAGAAAATATGGGTTACATGCTCAGATTTGAGCAATGAACTGCATAAAGGAGAATGATTTAGTCCCAGTAAAATGACAGTTCCTCTCCCAGCCCCCAGCCTCAGAGGAGAAGTAAATAGGTTGCACCTCCTTCCGAACCATAGCACCCCATCAGGTAAAAGCGTTGCTGGTTTTGGCTGTACAAATGTACAGCGTGAATTCCACGATCTGTGAAGGCCATATGTGCCCAGCGCCAGAAAGTGATGAGGAGTTTCATAGACGTTAAGCTTTCATACAGTGAGGAATATCAGTTCTAAATACTGGATTGTGAAAGATGAACTGAAATTTTAGCTAAAGAGTAGTCATCAGGAACATCACTCTGCTCTTGACAGCAAGTGGTAGAAAGGCACAGAGTATTTGAAAAGAGATTAATATAGAGGCTGAACCAAAACAACTGAGGCAAAATTCTAGGTGCTTATTATCTCTTTGCAAAAAAACCCCACAGTGTGATTAAGAATATAGGGTAGAAGACAACAAGTTTTAAGTTTTGACTTAAGTTTGTTGAAAGTTGCTGTTGAATGAATAATGGACTCAGAAGAAAGATGATAAAAATAAGGCTCTCAGGAAACATGCAAGCAACTTACCTGTTCTATGCAGAATCACAAAATATGATGGAACACGGCATAGGAAATAAGGGAAAAACAAGGTTCCTCGAGCCATAGACACACCTGACCACCAGTAACAAAAATTAGGTTATTATTTCAGAGGAAATAAGCATTTATATAAACACAACCCTCTGCAGAGCTACTACTTGTTCATCTCTGGTCAATTATGTTAAAAAATAATAGGAATGAAAGAGCTGCTTTACCACCACTCACCAATGTGCATTTTTTAATCCCATAGAGTAAAATGATGCAGCAGGCATCTGGAGTAATATAAAGTATGAACTGAGTCAAGTGAAACATTTCCTTATGCCTCTTTCATTACTTTCCCTAATAATACTAGCAACAAAATAAAAAAATGTCAGAATACTCTTGATATTACTGAATATTAAGGAATTTAAAATCCAGAGATGAATGAAGAAAATTGGAACCGTATCTATGCAAAAACTGCCTGGAATTAAAAAACCGTGTCTTCCAAATAACAGGTCCTGAAGGGGCAATTGCCTAGTATGTGTAGCTCTTATTTCTAAAAGTAATAATAATAATAAATTGCCTTGAATAAATTCTACACTGAGCAGCAAAGTAGCGAAATGAGTATAACTTGCCCTGAACATCACTCTTACTTGCACTGAGCTTTAATTTGTACTGCAAATCATTTCATCATTACATTTCTGCTTTCAGGACAGCACCTGGGTATATGCCATCTCTCTAAATCCCCCTGGTTTCTTTTAATTACCTCGCCCCCAGTCTAGACCACTGCAGGGTCAGGACTAAGAGAAGCCCCTGCCCTACAAGCAAGAAATATACCGTGAAATTTCAAGACATACCAGATGCATCTCTTATGTACTACGGAGTCTGTAGTCTCTGTCAGTCAGTGCAAGAAAATCCTTAATTGCTCTTGATCTCATTTATATTCATGTATACTTCATCCTCTTCATTTCTCTGCCACAATATCACCAAGCCTACTTATCATCTTGCTGTTATTTGATCAATCAAGGAAAAAAAAAAAAAAGCCAAAATTTTAAAATCACTAGGAAAGGGGATAACATCAATAATATTTTTCCTATTTAACATCAAGGTTAAATTTCAACTAGTTTCAGAGTCCAGATACTTTTCTCTTACTAGGGTTTTTTGACATGATACCCTTTAGTAGCTGAAGGGTTTTTCTGTATTGCCTTTTCCAATTCCAGAGAAAGACTTCTTACCAATAATTCTCAGTTCCTTTTCAAGAACATATTAGAAGTTCACTCCTCCCACCTCTCACCATTGAACTGTGGTTGCAAATGTTGTCAGGTCTGTATTTCCATTAAGTTCACAAAAGCATCTTTTTACATGAAATCCTGTAGCATAAGTAGTCAGACTACAATCCTTTTATTTCAGGAGCGTGATTTGTGAACTGTTTTGACAGAGTTAGGGAAAGTCTTATTTTATCTTCAAATAGATTTTTCGTTAATGGTGCTGTCCTTATGAGAGGAAGTTCAACTTTACTTACTGCTGGAGTGAATGGCAGCAATTTCACTGACATCATGATTCAAAATTCACATGAATTTTAATGCTCTTTTTGCATATCAGCATCCAGTGTGCTTAAAAAACATTTGGTGGCGTGTACATAATTGTTCCTCGCAGACAACTCTCGTTCCTCTTGAAGGTTCCCCACCTCCACCCCTGTTCTCGGTTTTTGATGTAACACAGACTTTGGGCCTGGCATGTAGTGACTTTTCTTAAATGCTTCCTTGTCATTCTCTTCCCTCAAATGCCTAAGCAACATTTTCACTTGCTACTTTCAGGTCTGGATGGTTGTGAGTATTAATGGGGAGGTATTATTCAGACACATAATAAGCTACAGATACCACATACAGCTGGATTTGGGGCAGTCATCAGGATTTCACTAACAAGCCAGTGACCACTTTTATAGATGAACATGCTATAAATGATACTGACAATTTTGCCTCTAAGAAAATTTAATCGAGGCAACTTTTGTTAGTTTCTCTATAGATGACTATTTTTCTACTCACAGAGAGGAATATAAGGGGAATTTCTAAATAATTATTTTCCGAGATGACATACCAATTTTAAAAAGGCTCTCTGGATTTTTTTGGGGGTAAGTGTTTTTCTGATATTTGTGCACATATATAGAGAAAGCATTTGCATGTATTATTACCTTTTTGATCGCAATTTGCATAAGCATTGCTAAGTAATTTCAATGTAATTTGCATATTGTTCTGCAGTTCAAATTTTTCTCATCATCTACCTCTTAATTGAAGTTTGGAGACTTGCTCGACCCTGGAAGAATACAGTTAACAAAAAGCATAAGGATAAAACCTGTACAGACTATTAGAAAGTCTCCCAAATATTTGAAGCTACTGACGGTTCTATTTTTAAGGCAGTGCATATTTATGACCGAATTTTTGTATCAATTGCCATAGCTTTGTTAAATCTAAAAAATTAACCCATAGTGCTGTAGTTTTTGACATCATTGAACTGGTATAAAAACTCAACGTGTCATTTAGATATCCAAAGTCTGCTGCCCTTTCTGTGAGATGCTGGCCCTCCCTTTTTTTGGGCTTTCTTTCCATTTCTGAATTAGCGGAAGTAATGAAATGGAACTATTACATAGTTAATATACCCAACCAGTATTAAAAAAGTATTACAGAATATTTCATGTTTTGTATCGCTGAAAAAAAAAGTTTCTTTGGTTTAGATATAATAGAGAATTTTAGCTTGCCCCTCCCTTTTGCGGGGCAGTTGAG